AAACCAAGAGTGAAAACGTAAGGACCCCAAAATTAATGTCAGTAACGAAATTTTAAAAGCTAATCCAGATAGAAAAAGCATTATATGAATTTTATACATCCTTACCTTGCAAGTACCAAATGCCAGTTTATCTGTTTATTAACCAAGCGAACCAGTCCATCTGGGAGCAAAAAAGGTGCAGGTCTGAAATCATAACACACCAGCTAGCTTAAAATCTCATCATGAAAACCACACACGAGTAGGTAAATACTATAAATAGCATTCACTATCTCTAGGGAGAGATAGGGATTTTTTTTCCCATTAGAATATAAAATTTGAATGTTAGCACACTCAAAACCAAAAGTTACTAATTTGGTATCTGAAATTTGACCATAAACATTTCTCTATTTCCAGAAAAACACAGTGGTGTGTTCAAAGGTATAATTGTTATGTACTTGCCAGGAAAACGACATCTATCATACAAGTAACAGAGCAGAAAGAGCTTATACCAAGGGTTTCATGGAACTTATTAACAAAAATTTCAATGAAAACAGAAATAATTTGCAAAAGCTTTGTAATGTTGGTATATCTAAAGACTCTTACATGTATGGTGAAGAGTCAACTCTATTAGGAAGTCTTTCATTAACACACCTGTATTGATACCTTCTGATGCCTGATGTTAAGGTGCCCACACATAGGATAAGGCTTGTATCAGAGTTAACTCTTTTCGAGTCCTCTTTCCCAATAGATAACATAAAGAACTATCAAGCAGCAACCTGAACAGAAATATTTTCTGACCACCCTATCCAAGGGTGTTCAGGACTAGCTAGCAGTAGCCTAGTGAGCTCAGGAAAAACAGCCTATCTCTTATACTCTTTTCCCCTTCTCCCACCCACTCTTTGCTCATCTCTCTGTCCTATCACACCCCACGCACCCCTAAAAAGTAAGACAAAATTAAGTAAAGAAATGTAAATACGTATACACATATATGCATACATATACACAAACACATATAGAGTAAAACAGAAAAACAGTGAAGTAAGCCCTAGAGAAGAGCCAAAGGTCTCATTTACAGAACTATATTATCTCTGGAGCTTTATAGATTAGATGTTCTCAAAGAAAAGGCAATCTGTAGTAAATAATTCTATAAAACAATCCCTGCACATGTATCTAAAAGAATTATAGCCTTGGTCAGAGTAATTATTTTCTTGTTCCTTTTAAAGCTGAAAATTAGCACCATGCCTGAAAATACACTTAACAGTCAAGAAATTAAGAAGTACACAAGAACTGAAACCTGAAGACCTTCTCTGATGCACAGCAATTGAATGATGACCACAAGAAAGCTGATGTAACAATAAGCACCAAATGCTTTTTAAAAGACATGCAGCCTACAGGTGCATTATTTGGGCATTCAAGATGAGCCTGAGAACACTCATCAGAGGAAGCAGAAGTCATCATGAGATATTCTTAATAATAACTAAGGTAACTAAAAATTACCCTAAGTCTACTGGGATATCTTGTCTGATTATGCCAAAATGTTTGAAATGTCTGTTTTATAAACTGAGTTCACTTGAATATCAGCATCTTTATCATGATCTGGAATTCAGTTATAAACACTTAAATCATAAATACAGTAATATTGTTTGCATTTGATAGTCATACTGTTTCTCTGAAGAACTGAAGACTCACCTGTACCAGATATATTGATGTAAAAATAATAAATGATCTGTAATAAAAAGAAACAGCAAAGCCAAACATAAATCAGTTGTTGAGAATCATATTCAAATTAGATTTACAGACAAGAAATCTAAAATATACTGGAGACTGAATCATTACAAAACAAAACACAGAGAACATAACTCTTAAAATGAGAGAATAAATA